CGCTGATGATCGCAAGGCGGAAGTGCCTTGGTAAAGATATCAGCAGTGTTGGCCTCAGACGCCACGTGAGCAAGGCGCAGCTGACCACGCTGCTGCAGCTCACAAGCAAGGAAGTAGCGGAGAGCAATGTGCTTCATTCTGTGCTCCCAAAGCAAGGCCACCATGGCCTTGTTGTCTACGTAAAGAACTAGAGGAGAACGAGGCGGCTCTCCTAGGCCAGTCAGCAGGTAGGTGAGCCAGCGTAGCTCCTGTGTAGCCATGGCCCTAGCGTAGATCTCAGCCTCACGGCTGGAGCCAAGAACTGAAGACGAGCAGGTAGACCGCCACGAAACGGAGCCGGAGCCAAGGCTGAAGGTGTAACTCTGTGACGACCGCTGCGTAGCCTGGTCGTCAGCCCAAGAAGCATCAGCGTGACCTGTGAGGACTACTCGACGTCACCCTCCAAGCACCAGCCCCATGCTCGACGTACTGCACAAGTAGCGCAATACCCTCTTCGCTGCAGCCATGTGCTCTGGTCGGTGTCTCCCAGGAGCAACATAGCGTGCCAAGATGCTAAGAGGGTATGCAAGGTCAGGTCGTGTGCAGGTCATCAGGTACATGAGGCAGCCAACAAGCTCTGGGTACGGGCCAGTCGGCTCTACGGACTCATCCGAAGGCAGAGCTGAGAGCGAGTGGCGAGTAGACAGAGGAGTGGCTTGAGGCGAGGAGTACGTGAAGTCAAAGCGCTGAAGGACCTGCTGCACCATGTGTGATTGAGTCAGGGTAATGGTGCGCTGTGCTCTGTCCCGGGTGATCTGCAAGCCAAGGTAGATGCTCATTTCACCCAAGTCTATGCACGTGTGTCTCTTCTGCAGCTCGGACTTCACGTGGGCGAGTCCAGCAGTGTTAGTAGTGGCAAAAACCAAGTCGTCGACGTACACAAGGACGGCGGCAAAGAGGTGTCCGTGCGCAGAAACAACGACGGGTCAGCTGTAGAAGGAGCAAACCCAACAGCCGCAAGCGTAGTCCTCAGTGTGTCGTGCCACTCACGGGGCGCTTGGCGGAGACTGTAGACTGGCCGCCAGAGGATTCACTGGGTACCAGGGGGAAACGACCCAATGAAGCCAGGTGGGCGGCGCAGCCAGATCTCCTCGTGCACGCTGCCCTGCAGGGAAGCCGTGCTGAAGTCAAGAGAGTGAAGCTCGTAGTCGCGCTGAGCGGCTATGTGTAGTAGCACCCGAAGAGTGGTCATCTTTGGGGTGGGAGAAAAGGTCTGAAAGTAGTCAACTCCCTGCCGCTGTCTGAAGCTTCGAGCCACATAACGCGCCTTGAAGATAGGCGGAGAACCCGGGGGCCGCTTCACCCTGAAAATCCACATGCCACTAACGATGTTCGCCCCAGGTGGGGGAACCTTGTCTACATAGGTGCGTGTGGAATTCCAGGAAGCCATCTGTGCGTCCATGGCTGACTGCCACTGAGAAGAGTAGGGACCCTCGATCGCCTCAGCGTACGAGCGAGAAGTCGGGATGTCTTGTGCATCCGGGTCTCCCTCAGGGGCAATCAGCATGGACACGAGATGAGGCAAAGAAACAGCAAAACAGTGGAGCTCCTCCTGCGTGTCCTCAAGGACGTCCGTGCTAAGGGCACACTTTCTACTGACGGATGGAGGATAGACAGACCCAGACTCAGCAATAAGACTAGCAGCGTAGTCTAGACGACAGCGAGCAGCGAAGTTGACAAGCTCAGCAACTAGGGCCGACGCAGCAGTGGACTCAAAGGAAGGGTCAGTGACAACAGTAGCCAGGAGACGCGTGACAATAGGACTGGCAGCACGAAGAGAGTTAGACTCCGGGACGGCAACGGGACACGCAAAGGAGCAGTGGAAGGACGCAGTGCCATCCGGTGAGTGCCTGGGACCGGAGGAGGATGCGGACACGGAGCACGACGACCAGTGCGAGTAGCAGAAACAGGCAAGGCAAGACGAGACACAGGCTCACGACGCTCAACAAGACCTCCAGTAGGACCAGTGTAGGGAGAAGGAGCAGGTAGGGGGGAGGCGGGCTGTAACTGTGACTGCGACTGGACAGGCTGTGGACACTCTAAGGGAGGAGCAGGACCAGCAGAGGGCGGGAGACCAAGAACCTGCTCAAGGAGCGGAACGAAGTACGGCCGCGGCCGCGCAGCGCCTCTAGAACCAGCAGGGACAGCACCAGTATTCCCCGTAGCAGCACCAGCGCCAGTAGCACCTCCAGCACCAACAGGGCCAACACGAGCACCTTAAGACGCACTAGCGCCAACACCCCCAGTAGCTCCAGCTCCACCTGCACCAACTCCAGCAGGACCGGCAGCTCCTGTAGCCCTAGCAGCAGAACCAGCAGCAACTCCAACGCCTGGGTCTGCAGCACCAGCAGCAGCTCCAACTCTCGGGTCCGCAGCACCAGCAGCTGCTCCTATGCCCGGGTCCGCAGCACCAGGAGCAGCTCCAACGCCTGGGTCCGCAGAACCACCAGCAGCTCCAACGCCCGGGGCTGCAGTAGGAGCGGCAGCTCCAACGCCCGCGTCCGCAGCACCAGCAGCAACTCCAACGCCCGGGTCCGCAGCACCAGCAGCAGCTCCAACGCCTGGGTCCGCAGTACCAGCAGCAGCTCCAAGTCCAGGGTCCGCAGCACTAGTAGCAGGGTCCGTGACACTAGGAGCACCACTCTTGAGACTACAGCGCCGTGCGTACCACTCACGAAGACGCTGGGGATAGGGCAGCTCCCGCCTGGGCGAGGAAGCACGAGCACCAGCTCTAGCAGCACCCCGCCTGAGGCTTCAGTACTGTAAGTACCACTCACGCAACTGCTTGGAGGAGAGAGCCCCTCCAGGCGTAGCACTCCCAGGCTCAGCACCCCCAGACTCCACACCAGCAGGCTCCGTACGCCCAGGCTCAGCACCCACAGACTCCGCACCCCCAGGCTCAGCACCCCCAGGCTCTGCATCCCCATACTTTGCACCCCCAGGCTCAGCACACTCAGGCTCAACACCCCAAGGAGGACGAGATTCAACAACTACCTCGACAGGCTCAACCGGGTCTACCCGGGACACACCTGAGGGAGCAACACCCTGAGGGGGGAGGGGGTCTATTGCAGCAGCACCTGGCGCGAGGAAGAGAGGGAGGGGAGGGAGTGGGGCAGTGTGGTAGGGGAAGAGGCAGTAGAAGGGTACCGACTCGTCAAAGGTGACGTCCTGAGAGGCGAGGACACGGCGCGAGGCGGCGTGGTAAATATGCCAACCAGACGCGTCCGGGACAAAGCCGAGGAAGACACACGGAACAGCACGGGAGGAGAGCTTGTCCGCTAATGTATCGCGAACAAAAGCCCGAGATCCCCAGACCCTGAAACGCGATGCATCGCCAACCTCTCCCATCCAACGCAGTGTCGGGGAAGTCTCCGGAAAGGAGACACGGGGCCAGAGGTTGAGCTGATGCACAGCGTATCGGACCGCAAACGGCAACAGAAAGTGGGGGGCAGCCGCATGGATCAAGGAGGTACGAGCGACCTCCATGATCAAGCCAATGCGGCGCTCAGCAACCCCATTCTACAGTGGAGAGGCCGGAAGCGTGAATGGCTGGCGGATGCCGTGCTCCGCATACTAGGCTGCCAAGAGGTTGGAGGAGAACTCACCACCTCTGTCAGAGTGCAAGCGCAGGACAGGAAAGTCCGAGTGGAAACGCTCGCTGAGCTGGAGACGAGAAGCGCGGATCCAAGGGATCAAAATATCAAGGACCTCACCCTTGGTGCGCAAGGGGAAGACCGAGGTTTAGCGCGAGTAGTCGTCAACAACTATCAGGAAGTACCTCTCTTGACCCTGACCACGGACGCGGGCTGGGCCCCACACGTCCATGTGGAGCTTCTGCAAGGGAGCAGTCGTCGGGGGAAACGAGGAGGAGTGAGGAGCAGCGCACTGCCGCCCCTCGACACAGGGAAGGCAGGGAGGAGCAGGCGAGTCTGGGAGGGGAGGGAGAACCCTGGGAAGACAAGAGACTAGGTACCGTTTGTGCATTGCTCGAAGGCGCTGCACGCACGGGTGACCAAGGCGGTGGTGCCAGAGGACTGTCTCGTGCGCCAGAGAGCGGCAGGAGCAGGGGGCTGACAGCTGACCTGACGTAGACGCAGACGCAGCTACCTGAGGGGACTCAGTAGTCAGTTTGTAGAGGTCTGACCCCGGCTGCCGTGTGAAGGTCGCCAGGTGACGGCCCGTCCGAGCACACGTGCAGTGTATCACGCGCTCGTAGGCAAGGGTGAACTGGTGAACACCCCTATCTTGGAGCGCACTACCCGCCACCAAGTTTGTAGAGAACGAGGGGAGGTAGAGACAGGACAATGTGCCCGACGGGACGGCCGGACAGGGGAGGACAGTGGAGGAGGTTGCAGACCCCTAGAGGGGTCAGCGAGAGAGACCGCAACGGGCCGAGAAAGCTGCTCAAGAGCCGTACGGTCACGAAAGAAATAGCGGGAGGCACCTGAGTCTAGTGTAAATGTGTGCAGTGCCTCAGTCGACTCAGTAACAGAGGACGTAGACACACCAGCACCTAGAGTAGCAGCCTCACCAGCACCTGGGGTAGCAGACACTCTAGCACCTAGAGCGGTAGCCTCACCGGGTCGAATGCCCGGGTCGGGCGGAACACTCAGGTACTGGGCACCCTCTCCACTAATAGACATCACATACATGGCAGAGAGAATAGCATCGAAGTCTAGAGCAAAGATATCAATGTTTTGCTTTATCAGATCAGCCCAGCGGGGCAGCTCAGTGGCGTCAGGGAACTGAGTACGCCAAGCGTCGTCAAGGCGTGAGAAGCAGCGCTGCGTGGGGTGCGCCCTCCCACACGTCTGACCAGTGCGGATGACGTACGTGCAGCTAAGGCCACCACCCCCCCCGTGCCGTTTGTACCACTCACGGAGCTCCTGGGGCAACGGAGAGTGCTGTAGGCTCTGGCCACCGCCAGTGCCACCACGACCACCACTGCCGCCACCACCGCCTCAACCACCTCCTCCCCTGCCACCGCCACGTTCACAGCCGCCTCCACCACCGCTCCCGCCCCTGCCACCGCCCCCGCCGTTGCCGCCACCACCCCCACCGCTGCCACTAGCCCCTCCAGTCCCACCACCACCCCCACCGCCGCCACTACCCCCACCACCGCCTCCCCCGCCGTCACCTCCGCCTCCCTTGCCCCCTTTGCCCTTGCCGCTGCGACGCCCGCTCAAGGCAGACGCGGCCCCAACCTTCTCAAAACCAAGAAGGTCGACAGCAGAAGCAGAGGCTACAGAGGGAAGAAGGGGGGAAGGGGAACACCCCTCAAAGAAAGGGGTGCGGGGGTCGCCACGAGAGGCACCTACAGTGACTATGCTAGCCTCAGCTGCAAGTAGTTCCTTCTCGAGGAGGGCAATGGTGAGCTCAGTGGGGCAGCGAGCGAGGAAGTGATCCCTGACAGCACGCAGAGTGTCAGGGAGGCGGGTGACTAGGTGGTAGAGAGTGAGCCAGAGCGGGGGAGGGTTCTTGGCAAGAAACTCATCGGGCATGGCGGCACGGAAGCGGGCCTCACTAGTACGGAGGTGCGTGATGAGGTCAGCGACTGTGTGGAACGAGGCCAGGTCGGGAAACAAGTAGGGGAGTGAGAGACGGCCTAGCGCGGCAGAGGCAGGTGAGGAGTAGCGAGCAACGACAGCAGTGTACAATGCCTGTGCAGTCTTGTGCTGGCCAAAGTGCTCACGCTCGTCTATCAGCAGGGAGTTGTGAATAGCGAAGCGAGCATGGGCGTCACGAGTCTGCCACTGTTAGCGGGCAGTGCTGTCAGCAGTAGCAGCAGGAGCAGTAGCATGGCCTAGGGCGTGATCGTACAGTGACATGTCATCCTTGGCAGTGAGCTGTAGGAAGAGGTGTAGGTCATCTAGCCAGGTTTCGAACTTCACTGGGCGGCCCTCAGAATCGAAAGCTAGCACAAGAGGGCTAGCCATAGCAGTAGTAGGAGTAACAATAGAGTAGCAGTAGTAGCAGTAGGTGCACCCTCAAAACAGTAGGCAGTGCGACTCAGGTAGGGCGGCTCGGTCCAGTACGGGCGGCGCAGCTTGGTTCAGGTAGGGCGGCTCGGCTCGGGTAGGGCGGCGCGGCTGGGTTTGGGCGGCGCGGCTCGGTTCGGGCTGGGCGGCTCGGGTCGGGCGGCTCGGTTTGGGCTGGGTGGCTCGGGTCGGGCTGCTCCGTTTGGGCGGCTCGTTCTGGCGGGGCCGAGGGTGTCGCGGTGGGGTGCTAAGGGGCAGCGCGTGGGTCGAGGGGGCCGACGGGACCGCTAAGGGGTGGGCGCGTGCGGGGCAGACGGGGCCGACGGGGCCGCTAAGGGGGTCGCGCACGAGGTCGACGGGGCCAGCGGGGTCGCTAAGGGGCGGCGCGTGGGGTCGACGGGGCCGACGGGGCCGACGGGGCCGCTAAGGGGTGGGCGCGCGGGTTCGACGGGGCCAACGGGGCCGCTAAGGGGCGGCACGTGGGGTCAACGGGGCCGACGGGGCCACTAGAGGGTGGGCGCGCGGGGTCGACGGGGCCAGCGGGGCCGCTAGGGAGGCGGTACGTGGGGTCGACGGGGCCACTAGGGAGGTGGGCGCGCGGGGCAATCGGGGCCGACGGGGCCTCTAAGGGGCCTCTAGGGGGCAGCTTGTGGGGTCGACGGGGCCTCTAAGGGGCGGCGCGCGGGTCACTAAGGGGCTTAAGGGGCTGTGAAAGCGAGGCGCACGAGGGCGCTTGGGGGGGAGGCATTCGAGGAAGCTCCAACAGTAGGGCGCACGAGGGCGCTAGTAAGTAGCAGTTGTGGTGGGCCCTAGGAATCGGTCCTAGCGGAGGACCTGCTCTGATTCCATGTTACGAAGAAGAAGTGATTGAACTATGAAAGTTGGAGTACAAGTAGGAAACCCTAACTTTGTGTACCCCCTAAAGGCTAACCCACTATAGCCTACATAATAATAACACATATAGTGTTTGACACAAGGCTGCCATTGCCTTATGTGAGGAGCACAGACTGGAGCACAGAATAAAGCACATCGCTCTACGTTACTTCTAGGCCTGAGAGTTACAGCAGCGTGGTCAGCTTCGTCTGCGTTACGTGGCCACTCAGGCCAACACTGCTGATATATTCACCAAGGCACTTCAATCTGGTGATTATCAGCGTTTGTGCACTTTGCTAGGGCTTGTGCCCACTTTTCCTCACTTGTTGTAGACTCTGCCTTTACTGTGATATATATATACATACATATTTGCATGCTTGCTTTGCTTGGTGTAGATCACTGTGATGTTTGTGTTACATATATGCCTCTACATGTGGACTGGCCTTGTGGCCTCTTGCTTGTGCTCAGAGTGTGTGGTGACGTTGTGATCCACCCTGAACTTGCTTTGTCTATCTTGACTCGTCTTGTGACCTCTTGTTCTCCCCCACTTAGCCTATGGGGGTGTGTCAAACATTGTATATGTTTCTATTCTGTAGGCTGCAGTGGGTTAGCCTTTAGGGGGTACATTTCTCTAGGGTTTCATACTTTTACTCCCAAATGTTTCTAGTTGCACACACTTCTGATTCGAACAGAGTGGAAATAGACCTGAAAAAGATCGCGACGTTTCAAGCATGGCACGCGCCAACCAACTTGACCGAGCAGCGGAGTTTTCTAGGGTTCGTCAACTATGTGCACCGGTTTGTCCCCGACATGGCGAAGCTAACTGCCCCCGTTGACCGACTTGCTGAGGAAGAGGGTTGAGTACACGTGGGGGGAGAAAGAGCAGGCTGCCTTCTCAGCCCTCAAAAATATTTTGTGCTTGCCGCTCGTGCTTCACATCGCAGATCCGCACCGTCCGTTCGAACTCATCACCGATGCTAGCGACATCGCTGTGGGAGCAGTACTATTGCAGGAATTTGGGAACGGCCTCCAGCCAATCGCGTACGAGTCCCGCAAACTTCACCCGCCCGAACGTAACTACCCGATACACGACCGCGAGATGCTGGCGATCGTGCACGCGTTCAAGGTGTGGTGATGTTACCTCATAGGAGCAGACGTGACAGTACGGACAGACCACCGATCCCTACAGAACCTTCGCGCCAAACCGAATCTCAATCCACGACAGATCCGCTGGTTGGACTATCTCGAGTCCAACTTCCACGACACGGTCACATACAAAATAGGCGCATCCAACATCACCGACGCACTCACACGTCCCTCCACCCAACTCCACGCCATCCGATTCGCCCAAACCAACCCACTATTAACAGGCTTGTTTACCCACGGATACAGTACCAACCCATTTGTCACGACCGGAAATTCACAGCAGCTGGCAGAAGCCAAATGAGTCTATTACGTAAAAACAGGCACCAACCGCATCTGGGTACCCGCGTACTTACTACTAAGGGGACTGTTACTACAGGAGGCACACAACGGGATTACCTTGGGACATTTCGGGGTAGAAAAAACGCGACAGCAACTGCAGCGGTATTACTACTTGTCGGAGCCGTTGACTGACGTATAGCACCACGTGGGCTCGTGTCCTACGTGTCAGGTGATGAAGTTCTCGCGAAAAAGAAAGGCGGGTCAGTTGCAGCCGATTCCACCGCGTGAGCGCGCCTGGCAGCGGGTTACCATGGATTTCGTCACGGGGTTACCTTCAAACCCTGGGGGTAATGACGCAGTTACGCGTCGTTACCCCCAGGATTCCGTCGTTGACAGGTCGACGAAGATGGCACACTTTGCTGCGTGCAAGAAATCAATCTCAGCCGAAGAAATCGCTCGCTTAATCATCGCAGCCGTCATTCGACTGCACGGGATACTAGCCACGATAATCAGCGACCGCGACACGAAGTTCACCAGCAACTTCAGAAAAATCCTCTGGGAGCAGTTCGGGACAAGGCTACAGTTTAGCTCGTCGTACCACTCCGAGACCGACGGTCAAACGGAGCGGACGAATAAGATGATGGAGCAGTTGATTCATGCCACGTGCGACGACCCGACCACTTGGGAGCAGCAGCTGCCGCTGATCGAGTTCGCATACAACAACGCCACGTCAGCGACGACGCAACAATCCCCTTTCTACCTGAACTACGAGCAAAACCCTACAGTGCCATGACACCGAGTCCAGACAACCCAACACCACGTGCATAGCAACTCGGCGAAATTCTGCAAGCTGCCCACCCTAGAGCCGCTGAAGCAGTTAAAAAGGCAAATGCCATCGCTAAGCACAAGGCTGACCGCCACCACCGCCCAGTCACGTACCAGTCAGGAGACTACGTATTGCTTGACACACAGAACCTAAGACTGCCCGTCGTACCAAAATTACGACCGCACTACTGTGGACCCTTCCAAATCAGCCCTTCATTCCACGTCAGCTTGCTTCGCCCATACATCCCAACCACAAGCCAACTGCCTCGTCACCGCCCGCCATCCATGACTCGCCTTGTATCGGAGCCGATCATCGAGCCCTAAAAAATCCTGAGCCATCGGATTCGACACCCTACGGGAATCAGGAGGATTGAATTCCTCGTTCACTGGAAGGACCGCACGCCAGCTGAGGATAGCTGGGTGCCCCTGGCCAACATAAAAAACCACCCTACCCTACAAGCAGGCCCTCAAATATCAGCGTAAATCACGCTGCTTGTGCTGATTTTGTAGCTCAAATATTATTTTTTCCTAATAATTCAGCATATGCTTCAATTTTGCACTAAAATTTCAGTATAACCTATTTTGTCACATTGACAATTTTGTATGTTACTGTACAAGTAATGTGAAGAATGAGGAATGAATGAACTAGCACAAAGTCGGGTACAAGTAGGAAACCCTAGGAAACTGTACCCCATAGTGTCTACCCCACTATAGCCTACACAAGCTATATAATATGAGTTTGACACACCCCCATAGGCAAAGTGGGGGAGAACAAGAGGTCACAAGACCACTCAAGCAAAGCAAAGCAAGCTCAGGGTGGATCACAACGTCACCATACAATCCGAGCACAAGAGCAAGGCCAAAAGGCCAGTTCACATGCAAGATCATATATAAAGGTAAACAAGCAAGTGCAGGTATAGAAAGATCACAGTACAGCAAGGGCCTGCTGCACCATGTGTGACTGAGTCAGGGTAATGGTGCGGTGTGCTCTGTCCCGGGTGATCTGCAAGCCAAGGTAGCTACGAAGTTTACCCAGGTCAGTGCACGTATGTCTCTTCTACAGCTCCGACTTCACGTGGGCCAATCCAACTGTGTCAGCAGTGGCAAAGACCAAGTCGTCGACGTACACGAGGATGTAGAACGGCGGCAAAGAGGTGTCAGTGTGCAGAAAAAGCGACGGGTCGGCTGGAGAAGGAGCAAACCCAAGAGCCGCAAGTGTATTCCTCAGTGTGTCTTGCCACTCACAGGGCGCTTGGTGAAGACCGTAGACTGGTTGCCAAAGGCTCCACTGGGTACCAAGAGGAAACGACCCAGTGAAGCCAGTTGGGCGGAAAGCTATGCTGAAGTCAAGAGAGTGAAGCTCGTAGTCGCGCTGAGCGGCTATGTGTAGCAGCACCTGAAGAGTGGTCATCTTCGGGGTGGGAGAGAAGGTCTGAAAGTAGTCAACTCCTTGCCGCTGACTGAAGCCTCGAGCCACGTAACGCGCCTTGAAGACAGGCAGAGAACCCGGCGGCCGCTTCACCCTAAAAATCCACATGCCACTGGCGGGGAACCTTGTCGACGTAGGTGCCTGTGGACTTCCAGGAAGCCATCTGTGCGTCCATGGCCGACTGCCACTGAGAGGAGTAGGGACCCTCGATCGCCTCAGCGTAAGATCGAGGAGTCGAGATGTCAAGTGCATCCGGGTCTCCCTCAGGGGCAATCAGCGTGCACACGAGATGAGGCAAAAAAGCAGCAAAGCACTGGAACTCCTCCTGCCTGTCCTCAAGGACGTCCGTGCTAAGAGCACCCTCACCCCCGACGGACGGAGGACAGACAGACTCAGACTCAGCAACAAACCTAGTGGCGTAGTCTAGACGACAGCGAGCAGCGAAGTCGACAAGCTCATCAACTAGGGCCGACGCAGCAGTGGACTTAAAGGAAGGGTCAGTGACAACAGTAGCCAGGATTCGTGTGATAGAAGGACTGGCAGCACGAAGAGAGTCGGACTCCGGGTAAGCCAGAGTAGGAAGAGAGGACTCTGGAGGAGACGGCAACGGGACACGTAGAGGAGCAGTGGAAGGACACAGCGCCATCTAGTGTGTGCCTAGGACCGCAGGAGGACGCGGACGCGTAGTACGACCACTAGTGAGAGAAGCACAAACAGGTGACGCAGGACGAGACGTAGGCTCACGACGCTCAGCAAGACCTCCAGTAGGACCAGTGTAGGGAGAAGGAGCAGGTAGGGGGTAGGCGGGCTGTAACTAAGACTGCGACTGGACAGGCGGAGGACACGCTAAGGGAGGGGCACGACCAGTAGGAGGTGGAAAACCAAGAACCTGCTCAAGGAGCGGAACGAAGTACGGCCTCAGCGGCGCAGCACCTCTAGAACCAACAGTGAAAACACCAGTACCTCCAGCGGCACCACCAGCGCCAGCAGCACCTCCAGCTCAAGCAGCGCCAACTCCAGCACCCTTAAATGCACCAGCGCCAGCAGAAACACGAGCGCCAACACCCCTAGCAGTTCCAGCTCCAGCAGCTCCAGCAGCACCAACTCCAGCAGGACCGGCAGCTCCAGTACCGCCAGCAGCTCCACCAGGATCAACTCCAGCAGCCCCAACAGCACCACCAGTCCGAGCAGCTCCAGTACCTCCAGGATGAGCACCTCCGGGACCAGCAGCAACAGTAGTACCTCCAGCTCTAGCAGCACGGCTCGAGCGCCGGGCAAACCACTCGTTAGCACCTGTGGAGAGAGTGGCTCCCGCCTCGACGAAGCACCGCCGGCGGCCACACGAGCAGACCCAGCGCCCCCGGGCGTCGCTCCCCCAGGCCCAGTACCCCTTGTCTCAGCACCCCCAGACTCACCACCCCCAGGCTCAGCACCCCCAGACTCAGCACCCCCAGGCTCACGACCCCCAGACTGAGCACGCCCTGACGCGGCACCCGCAGGCTTAGCAGCTCTAACAACACCAGAGTCAACAGCTACCTCGATAGGCTTGACTGCGTCTACCTGGGACACTTCTGACGGGGCAGGACCTTGAGGGGGGAGGTGGTCTACTGGGGGAGGACCTGGCGCAACGAAGAGCGAGGACGGGGGAAGGGGCGCAGTGCGGTAGGGGAAAAGACGGTAGTAAGGTACCGGTGACGTCCTGGGAGGACAGAAATCGGCGCGAGGTGGGGTGGTAAAACTGCCACCCAGGCGCGTCAGGGGGGAAGCCAAGGAAGACGCAGGGAACAGCACGGGGGGACAGCTTGTACGCAGACAAGTCGCGGACAAACGCCCGAGATCCCCAGACCCAAAACGCAGACGCATCGCCAACCTTCCTGGTCCACCGCAAGATGGGGGAGGTCTCTAGCAAGGAGACCCGGGGCTAAAGGTTGAGCTGATGCGCGGCGTACTGAACGGCAAACGGCCACAGAAAATGGGGGGCAGCCGCATGCATCATGGACGTACGAGCGACGTCCATGACCATGCCAATGCGGTGCTCAGCAATCCCATTTTGCTGTGGAGAGGCTGGAAGCGTGAAGGTCTGACGAATGCCCCGTGCACAACAAAAGGCTCCCAGACGGGCAGAGGAAAACTCCTCGCCTCTGTCACAGTGGAGACGCAGAACAGGAAAGTTCAAGCCGAAACTCTCTCTGAGCTGGAGACGAGCTGCGCGGATCCAGTCGATCAACACCTCAGTGACGTCACCCTTACTGCACAAGGGGACGACTGTGGTGTAACGCGAGTAGTTGTCAACCACCAACAGGAAGTAACGCTCGTTCCTTTGTCCACGGACGCGGGCGGGGCCCCACACGTCCATGTGAAGAGTCTGCAGTGGACCCTCTGTCGGAGGAAACTCGGAAGAGTGAGGGGCGGCGCGCTGGAGGTAGGGGCAGGCCCCGGAGGTAGGGGAGGGAGAGACCGGGGAAGACCAGAGACAAGGACACGGGAGGCCATGCCTCGGAGACGAGGCAGGGAGGGGTGACCAAGGCGGTGGTGCCAAAGGAGAGTCTGGTGGGACAGGAGACGACACGACCAGGGAGCAGACTCAGGACCAGACCTGGACGCTGCAGCGAACACCTGACTTGACACAGCTACCTGACCAGACTCAGCAGTCGGAGGAGACTTAGTATTAAGTGTGTACAGGCTCGACCCCGGCCGGCGGGTGAACGTGGCCAAGTATCGGCCTGTCCGAGCACACGTGCAATTGGTCACCCGCTGATTCGGAGGAGTGAACTGGTCAACCCCCCTATCTTGTAGATCAGCTCCACTCACTAAGTTCGTAGAGAACGAGGGGAGGTAGAGGCCTGACAGGGTGCCAAAGGGGGCTGCCGGGTACGGTAAGACAGTGGAGAAGCTAGCAAGGACAGGACCCCCAGAGGGGTCTGCCAGGGAGACTGCAACCGGCTGACTAAGCTGCGTTAGCGTGGTGCGGTCTCGAAAGAAGGAGCAGGACGCACCCGAGTAAAGGGTGAAGGTGTGTAAGGCCTGAGCTGACGTACTATAGTACCTGAGAGAGCTGACTCACCAGCACATGGGGCAGCAGACGCACTAGCACCTGGGGCAACAGACACACTAGCACCTAGAGCAGCAGCCTCACCAGCACCTAGCGCAGTGGCCTCAATGCCCGGGTCAGGCGGTACACACAGGTAACAGTCACCCTCAACACTAGTAGTCACAGCATACATGGCAGCAAGGATAGCATCATACTCAAGATCAAAGATGGCAACCCCCGCCCTACACAGATCTCCCGAGCAAGGGATCTCTGACGCCTCAGGGAACTGGTGACGCCACGCGTTGGTCAGGCGGCCGAAGTAGCGCGCTTGGTGGAGTGCAGGCCTCCCCACTGCTCACGTGCGCGGTCACCGGTACGTAGGACGTAAGTGCAGGGACCAGTACCCCCACCTTGTTGACGCGTAGCGTACCATTCACAAAGCTGCTGAGGGGACAGGGTCTCACGACCGCGCTGCTGCTGCTGGCGCGGACCACCACCGGACCCACTCCTCTGCGCAGAGTCGCGACCCGCTCCACCGCCACCGCCGCCGCCGCCGCTGCCTCCGCCGCCTCTGCCACCTCTGCCTCCACCACCACCTCCGCCGCCTCCGCTCCCTCTGCCACCACCGCCGCCTTCTCCGCCTCCACTGCTGCCACCGCCGCCGCCACCCCCGCCGCCACTCCCACCACCACCCCCACTCCCTCCACTCCCTCCACCACCACCTCCACCGCCCTCGCTAGCCCCTCCAGTTCCCTTGCCCCCCTTGCCCTTGCCGGTGCGGCGTCTCCCGCTAGGGGCAGACGTAGCGCTGACCCTGTAGAAACCAACGAGGTTTGCAGCAGCAGCAAAAGCAACAGAGGGCAAGAGGGGGGAGGGGGAACACCCCTCAAAGATGGGGGTGCGAGGGTCACCACGAGAGGCTCCTACAGCTACTATGCTCTTCTCTGCTGCTAGGAGGCGCTCCTCGAGGAGGTCAACGGTGAGAGTGGTGGGGCAAACTAAGAGGAAGTGGTCCTTGACTAAGCGAAGAGAGTCAGGGAGCCGGGTGACTATGTACTAGAGGGTGATGTACATGAGGGGGGGAGGTTCTTGGCGCAGAACGCAGTAGGAAGCGCAGCGCGGTAGCGAGTGTCACTGGTGCGAAGGTGTGTAATGAGGTTAGCGACTGTGGGAAGGGCAGCAAGGTCAGGGAAGAGGTACACTAGCATGAGGCGGCATAGTGCAGCAGTGGCAGGGGAAGAGTAGCGTGCAACTACAGCGTCGTACATTGTCTGAGCACTCTTGTACTGGCTTAAGTGTGCACGCCCATTGGTCGGTAAGTGGCGACGCACAGCAAGACGGGCAGAAGCATCGCGTGTCGCCCATTGTGAGCGAATAGTGCTGTCAGCAGTAGCAGGCGGGGAAGGGGAGGCATCAGAGGTGAGGTCGAACAGGGAGAGTCCGTTTGCCCTATCGCACTGGAGGAACAGCTGGAGGTCATCGACCCAAACCTCAAAGTCAACAGCACGGCCCTTAGTGTCAAAGGTAAGAACACTAGGGGTAGCCATGACTGTAGAGGTCTAGCAAGAAGTGAGTTCACCAGTACGAGTAAGTAGGGCCGGTGCGCGTCGGTAAGACTGGTAGCAGCTGAACGGCAGGGTGGCTCAGCGGCTCAGCTGCTCGGCAGCTGGGCTGCTTGGCTGTCGGGCGGCTTGGCGGCTGGGCGGCTCAGCGGTCGGGCGGCTCGGCGGTTCGGCTGTGGGGCGGCTCGGGGTCGGGCGGCTTGGCGGCTGGGCGGCTCGGCGGTCGGGTGGCTCGGCGGCTAGGGGGCTCGGTTGGTGGGTGGCTCGGCGGCTTTGCTGTGGGCGGCTTGGCGGCTCTGCTGCTGTGCTGATCGGGAGAGGCGGCGTTGGGGCCGCTAGGTGCAGCGACGGGGCCTCTTAGGGAGGGTCGCACCGACGGGGCCGTGTGGTGGCGGCGACGGGGCCGCTTAGAAGGCGGCGTCAAGGCCGCTTAGAGGCAGCGACTGGGCCCCTTAGGAGCGGTAGCGGGGCCGCTTAGGGGCGGCGACGGGGCTACGTAGGGTGAGAGGCGGCGACGGGACCGCTAGGGGCAGCGACGAGGCCGTTAGGGGCGGCGACAGGGCCTCTTAGGGGCAGCGACAGGGCCGCTAAGGGTGAGAGGCGGCGACAGGGCCGGTAGGGGCGGTGACGGGGCCGCTAAGGGTGGCGACGGGGCCGCTAAGGGCGGCGACGGGGTCGCGTAGGGTGAAAGGCGGCGACGGGGCCGTTAGGGGCGGCGACGGGGCCGCTAAGGGCGGCGACGAGGCCGCAGAGGGGCGGCAACGGGGCCGCGTAGGGGCGGCGACGGGGCCGCGTAGGGTGAAAGGCGGCGACGGGGTCGCTAGGGGCGGTGACGGGGCCGCTAATGGCGGCGTCGGGGCCGCGTAGGGGTGGTAACACGGCCGCGTGAGGGGCGGCGACGAGGCCGCTAGGGGCCGCTAGGGGCCTAGAGAGGGCGGCGAAAGGTGCGCCTTGGGTAGGAGCGACTGGTGCTCCGGTCAGAAAGGAAATTTTCAGTGGTGGGCCCAAGGAAGCGTTCCCACTAGGGAACCTGCTCTATACCATGTGAAGAATGAGGAATGAATGAACTAGCACAAAGTTGGGTACAAGTTGGAAACCCTAGGAAATTGTACCCCATAGTGTCTACCCCACTATAGCCTACACAAGCTTTATAACATGAGTTTGACAAGTAACACCAACGAATCAGTATAGTGTACCGAGTCACACTGATTCGGATATGATAGGGTATGGGTGTACAGGGCCCGCAAAAGGAACTCACAGCCAACTCAGGTAGCTCCCGCTGACTAGAATGGTTCATACAAGACTAGGAAATTTCGGCATGACTTTATCGGTATGAGGACGATGTATATATATTTGTAGGAAAGAGGGGAAAGAAAGAAGAGGAAGAAATGATCAAGGAATAAGAAGAGGTAGTAGGGAAAAGAAGATAGTGGAAGGAAGAGAAGAGAAGGATAGAAGAAGGGGAAAGGAAAAGGGAGGTGGGAAGAGAAGAGGAGATAGGGAGAGAGGCTAAGGAGGAGGAAGCACCAAGGGACCAAACACAGCAGCAACCTGCCCAACATCGCAGGCACATCGTTTCAAGCACAGCTACTATTGTTTTTTACACATATGCATCATATATATATGCATGTCAGCCACACTCTCGAAGCACCCTGTGACGTGGTGCCAAGTACCCTGCCCCGCACTAAGTGGGATTGGTGCGGGCATCCACCCGTCGTTGGATCCCCCCAACTGCCGCACTGCATGCTGGATGATGCATTGAGCCTGCGCGCGCTGCAGTGCTAGGAGAGGCGTGTAGTGAGTCCTACCTCAAATATCCGTGCCGATCCGTCATCCCCCCCCACCCCTATCCCTCCTCCGTTGTGCTATCCTCTTTGCGCAGAGCCCCAAAAACTGACACAGCGGCTCGCTCAGAAGGCCAAAAGTCTCAGCCACGCACGCGTAAAAGTGTGGTGCCGGCTGCAACCCCTCTAAGTGCGGCCCCTAGTGACGCAGCTTCTCCTGCACCCGCCTAGCTGCTGCCACTCCAATCTGTGTGGGGGTCGCCAGTCTCAGCTGCACGTTCCCCTCCCGCTGTGGATCCGCTATGGAGACATCCACAAGAACCATCAAACTCTGCCCAACGTCGCGACAGGTGAGGTCTAGGATGCGGGAGGAGGTGCCTACCCGGCCTGTGCGTCCGACTGGTCCCTGCTGCTGCGCTGGCTACTGCCCTGTCTGGGCCCTCGGTGCCTCCTCTCCGGTCGTCTCTCTCCCCCTCTCCTCTCCTCCACCTACCTGTCCTCTCCCCTCCCCCTCTCTACCCTCCTCCAACCCTCCCAACCCCCCTGCTCGATCCCCTGCTTCCGCTCTCACTCCCTGGTCCTCCCCTCCCGATCCCGCTCCCCCCCCTGTATCTCCGTCTGCTCTCTGCTGCTCTCGCCCCTACCCCACCCCCGGGCCCACACCCGTAGGTACGACGCCCTGGGCCCGCGGCCCCCGCTGGCTCTCCTGCTGCTGCCCTTGCTGTCCCCCCCTCCACGTCCTGGCCCGTCTGCTCCCCCTGCCGTCCCCTCTGCCCGCCTGCCCCTCGCGCCACCCGACCCCGCAGCTGATGCTGTCCCCACTGCCTCCCGCTGCCCGGCTGTCCCGCCTCACCCCTCTGCTCCAGCGGTCCCTCAGCCTGTGTCTCCTCCCCCACCACCGGCTGTCCCTGCCGCTCGAACTGCCTCCATTTGTGTGAACAGCGTGGAGTCCTCCACCTTCACCGCAAAGCCCACCTCGACCGTGAAGTCTCGAAGCATGTACTTCACCGTGTCGTGGATGGTCGTGGCAATGCCGAATCGTGGGCACCGAACCGCGTGATGAGGCACCGTCATGTCGTCGATCGCCTGTCCACAGGAGCACTGACCTGCAAGGGCAAACTGGGGGATAGGGAGACCAAGACGGGAGTCGAACCCGAGACCTTGCGATTACCAGACTTGACCCAAACAACTACGGCAAAAACACCGTTCGATATGTGCCGTGATAAATTTAACACTAATGGTTCAGTTTGCCTTGAAAATTCACACTGAAAAAATCAGCATAATTCTAACCCCCAAGGCTGATTGGGACACCACTTTGGACACTGCACACTGATCGATCAACATACCCTGAAACCAATCTGAGGGCCTGCCTGCAAGTGTAGCCGGGGTTTCCGCGATATACACGCACTCGCGTAGCGGAGGGGGCTTCTTGAGGGGGGTGGGGGGGGGTAGTGTAAGGAATTTTCTCGATATTCCTTAGCGCGCCCTGCAACATCGCGTACAGCAGCAGCCGTTGTTCGCCCGTTACTGCTAACGGGGCTTCGCCGACTTTGCGCGCACTGTTTCACCAAACCTCGCACTGCTGACCCGGCCGTGTCGGCCCACGCTTCGGGAATAGCCCGAGCCTCGCCTCCAGCGTAGCACTAGCTAGCTCTGTCAGATTTATATGACATAGTTGCTGTAGGCTATAGTGGGGTAGCACATATGGGGTACAGGTTTCTAGGGTTGCATTTGTACCCCATCTTTCCTTAGTCATTCATCATTCCTGTTCTTCAACTCTCACATGGTATAGAGCGGGTTCCTTGTGGGAACTTCGCCTAGGGCCCATCGAAGCGCGCCCCGAGGCGCGCGAACTTTTTTTTCCAGCGACCCTCCGTGTCGCCCTTCCCTCGCGGCCCCCGCCGCCCCTTCAGACACGGCCCTGCCGCCCCTTTTCAAAACGCGGCCCCGCCACCCTTTTCAGACGCGGCCCCGGCACCCTTTTCAGACGCGGCCCCGCCGCCCTTTCGGACGCGGCCCCGCCGCCCTTTCGGACGCGGCCCCCGCCGCCCCTTTCAGACGCGGCCCCGCCGCCCCTTTCAACGCGGCCCCGCCGCCCTTTCGGACGCGGCCCCGCCGCCCCTTTCAGACGCGGCCCCGCCGCCCATTCGGACGCGGCCCCGCCACCTCTTTCGGAAGCGGCCCCCGCCGCCCTTTCAGACGCGGCCCCGCCGCCCGTTCAGACGCGGCCCCCGCCACCCTTTCCGACGCGGCCCCCGCCGCCATCACTCGCGGCCCCACCGCCTCGTCGCGGCCCCGCCACTGAGTCGCGGCCCCGCCACCTCTTCGTTGCGGCCCCGCCACTCCTACCTGCGGCCCTACAGCCGCCTCAACTACGGCCTTTTGCCGCCCTACCTGTGGCCCAACGGCCGCCTTATCAGCGGCCCACCTGCCGCCCTACCTGCGGCCCACCCGCCGCTTTCCCTGCGGCCCTTCGCCGCCCCTACCCGCGGCCCTTTTGCCGCTCTACCAGCGGCCTACCCGCCGCCCTACCCGCGGCCCTACAGCCGCCCTACCTACGAGGCCCAGCATCACCCGAGCCGCCCAGCAGCAGCCGAGCCGCCCAGCCGCCCAGCCGCAGCCGAGCCGCCCAGCAGCAGCCGAGCCGCCCAGCAGCAGCCGAGCCGCGCCGGCGCAGCCGAGCCGCCCAGCACCAGCCGTGCCGCCCAGCAGCAGCCGAGCCGCCCAGCAGCAGCCGAGCCGCCCAGCAGCCAGCCGCCAGCCAGCAGCAGCCGGGCCGCCCAGCCGCAAACCGAGCCGCCCCGCAACGGCCGTCGAGTCGCCCGACCTGCCCTGTCTGGTGAGCACAGCCCTGCCCTACTGCTACTGCGTGCCCTTCCCCACTGCTTGCACTGCTAGTCTGTCGTCATGGCTACCCCCAGTATCCTAGGTTTTGACGCTGAGGGCAGAGCCATAGACTTTGAGGTCTGGGTCGACGACCTGCAGTTGTTTTTACAGTGCGATAGGGCAGACGGCCTTTCTCTCTTTGACCTCACCTCTTGCGCCTCTCCTGCCCCTGCTGCTGATGCTGACCCCACTGTTCGCTCTCAGTGGGCCACCCGCGATGCTGCTGCACGTCTTGCAGTGCGTCGCCACTTGCCCACCACTAAGCGCGCGCACTTTAGTCAGTACAAGAGTGCTCAGACCTTGTACGACGCTGTAGTTGCGCGCTACTCTTCCCCTGCCACTACTGCACTGAGCCGTCTCATGCTACTGTACCTCTTTCCTGATCTCACTGCCTTTCCTACTGTCGCTGATCTCATAACGCACCTTCGCACTAGTGGACACTCGCTACCGCGCTGCCCTTCTTGCTCAGTTCTGCGCCAAGAACCCCCCCCCCCCATGTACATCGCTCTCTACTACATAGTCACTCGTCTCCCTGACTCCCTCCGCGTAGTCAGGGACCACTTCCTCTTGGTCTGTCCCACCACCCTCACTTTCGACCTTCTCGAGAAGGCCCTCCTAGCGGCAGAGAAGAGTATAGTCGCTGTAGGAGCCTCTCGTGGAGACCCGCGCACCCCCATCTTTGAGGGGTGTTCTCCTTCCCCCCTGCTGCCCTCTGTTGCCTCTGCTGCTGCTGCCGACCTGCTCGGTCTTGAGTCGGTCGGCGCGGCGTCCTGCCCCCAGCGGGAGACGCCGCACTGGCAAGGGCAAGAGGGGCAAGGGCGCGGGTGGAGCTGGCGGGGGCGGTGGAGGTGGCAATGGAGGCGGCGGAGGGAGTGGGGGTGGCGGTGGGAGTGGTGACGGGAGTGGTGGTGGTAGCGGCGCCAAGTGGCGGCGGAGGTGGTGACGGCGAAGGCGGTGGGAGCGGAGGCGGTGGAGGTGGCGGCGGTGGAGGCGGTGGTGGCGGAGGAGGTGGAGCTGGTCGGGGGGAGTGCTCCGCAGAGGAGCGGCTCTAGTGGTGGTCCGCTGCAGCAGCAGCAGCAGAAGCAGCGTGCTCGGGACGTTCTCGACGCCTCAGCAGCTCCGTGAGTGGTACACGCAGGGTCAGCGTGGTGGAGGCTTTGGCCCGTGCACCTACGTTCTTTGCAGCGGCGACCGCGCGGGTGAGCAGTGTGGGGGTGCCCACGCCACCAGGTGCTGCTTTGGCCGCCTGACGGACGCCCTGGCGTCAGCAGTTCCCTAACGCTTCTGAGATCCCTCGCTGGGGGGACCTTTCTAGGGCTGGTGTAGCGATCTTTGAGCTGGACTTTGATGCTATCCTTGCTGCCATGTATGCTGTGTCTATTAGTGATGAGGGTGACTGTTACCGGTGTTTCCCGCCCGACCCGGGCATTGGTACTGCTGCGTTCGGTACTTGTGAGGCGTCTACTCTAGGTGCCAGAGCGGCTGCGCTCTCAAGTACTGGTGAGGCTGCGCTCTCAGGTACTACGTCGGCTTCGGCCTCCCTCACTTTCACTCTTGACTCAGGAGCTTCTCGCTCCTTCTTTCGAGACCGCACCACACTCACGCCGCTTGGTCGGCCGGTTGCGGTCTCCCTGGCTGACCCCTCTGGGGGTCCTGTCCTTCTCTCACTTTTTCCCACTGTCCTCCCGTGTCCAGCTGCCCCCTCGGGCACCCTGTCTGGCCTGTACCTCCCCTCGTTCTCGACGAACTTGGTGAGTGGTGCGGACTTGCAGATGCGGGGGCTCACCAATTCACTCCTGCGAGTCAGCGGTGACCCACTACACGGACGCACGCACAGGCCGGCACCTGGCCACGTTTTCTCGTCGGCCGGGGTCGAGCCTCTACACCCTGACCACTGAGTCTCCTCCGTCCCTGCGTCTGGTCCGATAGCTGCGTCAAGTCAGGTGTTTGCTGCTGCGTCCCGGTCTGGCCCTGAGTCTGCCCCCTATTCGTGTCGTATTCTGTCTCAACGAGACTCTCCTGTGGCACCACCGTCTTGGCCACCCCTCCTTGCCCCGTCTTCGGAGCATGGCTTCCCGTGTCCTTGTCATAGGTCTTCCCCAGTCTCTCCCTCCCCTTCCTTCGGGATTAGGACCTTCTTGTGTCCCCTGTGTCGAGGGGCGCCTCAGGGCTGCTCCTCACTTCCTCCCAGTTTCCCCCGACAGAGGCTCCTCTGCAGACACTTCACATGGACGTGTGGGGCCCGGCCCCCGTCCGTGGGCAGGGTCACGAGCAGCTACTTCTTGTTGGTGGTTGACGACTACTCGCGTTACACCACAGTCTTCCCACTTGCACAGCAAGGGTGCTGTCACTGAGGTGCTGATCGACTGGAGCCGCGAGGCTCGTCTCCAGCTCAGGAGGAAGCTTCGGCTCGGACTTTCCTGTTCTGCGTCTGCACTCTGACCGAGGTGGGGAGTTCTCCTCTCGCCTTCTGCGAGACTACTGTCGTGCACGGGGGATCCGCTAGACCTTTACGCTTCCGGACTCTCCACAGCAAAATGGGATTGCTGAGCGCCGCATTGGCATGGTCATGGATGTCGCTCGTACGTCCATGATGCATGCGGCTGCCCCCCATTTTTTGTGGCCGTTTGCGGTTCTGTACGCGGCGCATCAGCTCAACCTTCACCCCTGGGTCTTTCGGCCCGCGATGTCCCCAGTCTTACTGTGGACGGGAAGGTCGGCGATGCGTCTGCGTTCCGTGTCTAGGGATATCGGGCGTTTGTCCATGACTTGCGTGCGGACAAGCTGTCCCCTCGTGCTGCTCCCTGTGTCCTTGGCTTCCCCCCTGACGCTCCAGGGTGGCAGTTCTACCACCCCTCCTCTCGTCGTGTTCTGTCCTCCCAGGACGTCACGTTCGACGAGTCAGTCCCCTTCTACCGCCTCTTCCCCTACCGCACTCCTTGCCTCCCCCCGCCACCGGACTTCCTTGTGCCGGCTCCCCCCCCGTTAGACCCCCTCCCCCCTCAGGTTCCTGCCCCCTCAGGTGTGTCCCAGGTAGACGCCGTTGACCCGGTCGAGGTTACTGGTGACTCTGGTGCTGCTGCGCGTGCTGAGCGTGGGGTGCTGACTCTGGGGGTGTTGTACGCGTCGGTGCTGAGGCTGGGGGTGCCGAGCCTGGAGGTGCTGCTACTGAGGGTGCTGAGCCTGGGGGTGCTACTGCTGAGGGTGCTGAGCCTGGGGGTGCTGAGCTGGGGGGTGCTGTCCCTGGAGCTGCTGAGCTAGGGGGTGGGTACTGAGTCTGGGGGTGCTGAGTCGGGAGCTGGTGAGCCTGGGGGTGCTGCGTCTGGAGGTGCTGAGCCTGGAGGTGCCTGCGTCTGGGGGTACTGCGCCTGGAGCTGCTGAGCCTGGGGTTTCTCCTGGTGCTCCGTCTCGGCGGGAGCCTCTCTCTCCACAGGAGCTGCGCGAGTGGTTTGCTCGCCGCTGGAGGCGTACTGCTGGAACTGGACCTTCTTCAACCGCTGAGGGTGCTGGTACCACCGGTCCCGGAGCTGCTGGGCCTGCGGGTCCTACTGGAGCTGGAGCTGCTGAGGGTGTTGGTGCTGAGACTACTGCTGTCTGTCCTGGCGGTGGTCCAGCTGCTGGTGCTGCTGGAGGTCCTGCCGCTGGGGGTGTTGGTGGCGCTGGTGCAGCCGCTCGAGGTGTTGGTGGCGCTGGTGCAGACGTTGGAGGTGCTGGTGGCGCTGGTGCAGCCGGTGGAGGTGCTGGTGGCGCTGGCACAGCCGCTGAGGGTGCTAGTGCTGTCCCTGCTGGGTCTAGAGCTGCCGCGCGGCCTCGGCCGTACTTCGTTCCGCTTCTACAGCAGGTTCTTGGTCTTTCTCCTCTTGTAGAGTGTCCACAACCTGTCTAGCCGCGGTCACTGTTGGAGCCTACCTCCCCACTGCCTCCTCCCTCTCCTTACACTGGTCCTACTGGGGGTCTTGCTGAGCGTCGTGATCCTGCGTCTCGTCCCGCGTCGCCTGTTTGTGCTGCTCGCGCTAGTGGTCGCAGTTCGCGTCAGCGTCCTCCTCCTGTCCCTGGCACGCACAGATGTCTCTGCGTCCGTCCACTGCTCCTCTTCGTGCCCCTTTGCCTTCTCCTCCTGAGTCCTCTTTTCCTGCGCTTTCCGACCCGTAGTCGGACTCTCTTCGTGCTGCCAGTCCTACTGTCACGCGTCTTCTTGCTACTGTCGTCACTGACCCCTCTTTTGAGTCCACTGCTGCGTCTGCTCTTGTCGCTGAGCTCGTTGACTTTGCTGCTCGCTGTCGTCTAGACTACGCTGCTTGTCTTGTTGCTGAGTCTGCGTCTGTCTGTCCTCCGTCCGTCGGGGGTGAGTGTGCTCTTGGCACGGACGTCCTTGAGGACAGGCAGGAGGAGTTCCAGTGTCTGGCTGCTGCTTCACCTCATCTCGCGTCTGTACTGCTTGCCCCTGAGGGAGACCCGGATGCACTAGACATCCCGACTCCGCGCTCTTACGCGGAGGCCGTTGAGGGTCCCTACTCCTCTCAGTGGTAGGCAGCTATGGATGCAGAGATGGCCTCCTAGAAGTCCACAGGCACCTACGTTGACAAGGTTCCCCCTCCTGGGGCGAACATCGTCAGTGGCATGTGGATCTTCAGGGTGAAGCGGCTGCCTGGCTCTCCACCTGTCTTCAAGGCGCGGTACATTGCTCGTGGCTTCAGTCAGCGGCAGGGAGTTGACTACTTTCAGACCTTCTCTCCCACCCCGAAGATGACCACTCTTCGGGTGCTGCTACACATAGCCGCTCAGCGCGACTACGAGCTTCACTCTCTTGACTTCAGCACTGCTTTCTTGCAGGGCAGCTTGCACGAGGAGATCTGGCTGCGCCCTCCGCCTGGCTTCACTGGGACTTTCCCTCCTGGCACCCAGTGGAGCCTCCAACGGCTAGTCTACAGTCTCTGCCAGGCACCGCGTGAGTGGCACGACACACTGAGGACTACGCTTGCGGCTCTTGGGTTTGCTCCCTCTACTCCAGACCCGTCGTTGTTTCTGCGCACCGACACTTCTCTGCCGCCGTTCTACATCCTCGTGTACGTCGACGACTTGGTCTTTGCCACTGCTGACACTGCTGGACTCGCCTACATGAAGTCCGAGCTGCTGAAGAGACACACGTGCACAGACCTGGGTGAACTACGCAGCTACCTTGGCTTGCAGATCACTCGGGACAGAGCACGCCGCACCATTACCTTGACTCACTCACACATGGTGCAGCAGGTCCTTTAGCGCTTCGGCTTCACGTACTCCTCGCCTCAGGCCACTCCTCTGGCTACTCGCCCACTCGCTCTTAGCTCTGCCTTCGGATGAGTCCGTAAAGCCGAGTGGCCCGTACCCAGAGCTTGTTGGCTGCCT